TAAAAAGCAAGACATCAATGAAAGGCTTCAGGTGGAAATACTGGCAAATCTTCTATGATTGGATTATTTGAAAGAGCTGAGGGACACTCACTGATTGTCAATCAGTTTTACTGCTCCAAGTAGGCTACCATGGCACCTCCTCAACCTGCCAGCTACCACAAGGTGCACAATCACCCGACCTGCAGTCAGAAAGGCAGAAACCTTAAGAAGGACACATCCACAGGAACAAAGTGTGGAGATCAGACTGCACTCTGGGCAGCAGGCAACACAAACAAAACGCCCTGACAATGGCTTGTGCCTGGAAGCTGCCCACCATCAAAACCACCTCAGGGATCTGGGACTTGAACTGATGGACTTGCGTGAATGAACCCACCGCAACCCGCAGTGAGCCCTGGGCTCATTCGTTCCTGCTTGGATGGAGACATGTTCTGCACTTCACAAGTATGTCCAGGTGTTAAAAATGTAACATGGCAATCATCTTTAGCACTTCAAGGCACACAGCTCTTCCTTGGTCAAAGGACCTAGAGATGTAGGTACAATATAACCAAAAAAATTCAGATACAACTTATTTTTTCCATGTCCGCATACCAATATTTTTGTTTTATAAAGAAATACCTGAAAAAAAATATTTTTTTTCCAAATAAACACTTCCAGTGAGACAATAACACTAATTTTAGGTTACTTACACTAAAAATGATATGTTTTACTTTTAAAATAAAAAGAGGCACTTCTACATTTCTATATGCTCAAAATTTCTTAAGTACTTTTCAGTGCAAGAAAACACTGACTTAGGAAGAAAGTGTGGGAAACATAATTTTCCCATATTTTTGAAACTTCCTTAGTAACTGGAATTTCCCAATGGAATATGTAGGCTGTCTCTAGTAATTAACTTTGTAGAAGGAGACCAGCTTAACAGATTTTCTGGCAAAACCATGCCAAGACCCAGGATTAGTTTGGCAAAGAGACAAGAGGATCTTTGTGATTTTGATCAGGGAAAAGAACAGCCAGTGAGTGCTGTCTATAATCAGGAGGACTTGATATTTAAAGAACAGAATGGATGGTGAATTTAGTGTGTGCCATGAGCTGTATGGCATATCTTGCTGTAGGGCAAGATATGTTCACATCTTGCCACCAAATTTCACACCACACATCACTGAAAAAATACAGATGACAGTGCTGTAAGTGACTGGTTGTGGGGAGGATGAGATTGCAGAAGTTTGGATTAGTTCAGTTAGCACAGGATTTAAATAAATCTCTTCCTGCTTAATTCACCAAAGAAGAAATGTTCCAAAGATACTGGTCAGAACTGAAAAGAAGAAAACAAAAGCCAAAGAAAGCATGGAGGTACAACCATAAGCCAGACACCTTCTTCCAAACCATATGACTGACCTAGTCATGTATGATTACCTGGATAATACTGTACCTATTTAAGTTGGAATGGGTCTAAGATGATTGCCACAGGATACTCAGTAGATGAAGAATAAGACAGAGACAGTTATATGAAATTAAACAAGAAACATTTCTTCATACAGTTTGAAGTGTACCTGCAGAATTGTCTGCTTTAGAGGAATGTAGGCTCAAAAGTGGAGGCTGGAGAGAGAATGAAAGGAGCATTTTATTACCACTAAAAAAATGTGTCATCCAGTATGATTTAAAAAAAAAAAAAAAAAAAAAAAAAAAAAAAAAAAAGATAATAAAATCTCATGGTTCAGTAGGAAAGTTCCCCTTGGGACTTTGGGAATAATTCTTCTGCCAAGCTCCGTTATTGTGCTATTGGTTAGATACATCATATGTCTCCCTCCAACACTTCTGAAATATTAGCTCCTAGATGCAAGGAAAGACAGGTTATTAGTACTATTTAAAGTATTTGCTGCACTGTGAAGGCACAGGGAAGTAGCAAAGACAGCAAGTTCCTGATTCCTCTTCCATCTGATATCAGAAAGAACCGATTTATGACTTGGAATCAAAACTGAGTAGATTCATTGGATATCATTTAAAGATGAGGGTAGGAATTAGAAAAGTTAACGAATCCCTTGTTGGGGTGCTATACATCAGGAATGCAAAAGTGAGCATGACTGCATGAATCATATCAGCTTCAAAAGGTTCTCTGAAGACTCATATTGGATTTGATATAAAGAACTGCAGCCCATGCATGACAGATGCCACAGTACTCCTTGCACTTCAGAAGAAACACTCCATATGCAGAACACTGCAAAGGACCTATCCTCAGGAAGTTTTATGAGGAATTAGGGTTTTTTAAAGGCAAAAGGCATTCCCTGAGAACAGAAAATGGACAGCTGTGGCAAGCAGCTTCCTAAATTCTGTAAGAAATTATTGTATTAAACAGTTCAGACAGGGATGCCTTTTCTATAAGCCTTAATTCACATGCATAGATTTCATTCTTCCCTTAAAAAAAGAAAAAGCTTGCTTGTATGATGTGTGTAAAAAACAGCTGCATGTATAGGGATTTGCATCAGAAGCTTTTCATTATTTAAAGCCACCTATAAGAACCTCACAAGTTTATGTAGGGCATCTACTACATGAACCCCCAAGAGTCAGCACTAATAATTCCAAAGGTTTGACAGCATTGTGCTGCTGGTTTTTCAATATTATTTTACAAGTATGATATTCTGAGGGTGCAAAGAACTCAAATAAAAAACCTAATAAGAAATCAAATAAAAGTATATTATGAAAGCTGTTAAAGAAGCCAGAGGCTAAGCCTCTTGCAGGCCTTTCCTTGTGGGAACGAGTAGATACAAATAGCACTGAGAGTTTCAAATTTTGAGGGAACCTGAAAACTGTGAGATATAGAAATGTGATATCCCAGTGTTCCCGTGTTAAAACTAGTATGTTACAGTTCAGGAAGGTGCATACAGCTCATAAGAACTACAGTCATTGATACTGTATCTGAGTTGCATGTAGGCTTGAGGAAAACAATGATTATTATCTCATGGTGTTCACAACCTGTCGTTATGTGGGAGACCTAAAGATTCCTTAGGAATCATGAGGGCAGTCCATGAATGAAGGTCCTAAATGCATGATTTCATTCTATAGTTTATAAGCAATATACTGCATTGAGAAACAGTTAAAAGAGGCTGCTGTTTGTTGAAGCAACTATATTTTAAGCAATTTTCACAGACTTAGAAGATGTGGTAACTGAGCTGTAAAGCAGTAAAATTAATATCTATTTTTATTATTGCTATTACATGATTTCTGCTTAAATTTGGTTGTTGTTTCCCCTCCTATATTTGCTTCACCCTGTTGTTCACTCAACTAGGTAATCGATTGCTTATGTAAAATTAATACTCAAGGAAATTCCCGTTAGTTTCCAAAAGGAGTTTTGCTGGAGAGAAGGATGCAGCACTTGACAAGGAGTGTGCATGAGTATCTGTTTTTATTACTCTGTTCTGCTTTATTCTTTCCACAGCAAATAAGTAGGATTAAGGGAGCATATCCTGAATGATGGATGATAATTCTGAGCACTGCAACTAAATCTTTTGACTGCCTGGCTGAGAAGTACTTATTATCCTCATCAGCTTCTCTCATATCAATACTCCCACA